CAGAGCCCTTAAGCTCCCTGCCACCTGCCAGCCCCTAGCCCACACACTTTTAACAGTTTATAAGATCCTCCCTAGTTTCTTTCTCTCTCTCTCTTTTAAAAAATGCCAGAGGGCACCTGCTAAGAGAAAACCTCACAGAGGTCCTGGTCAATGCCATCCTTTTTCCTCTAATTCTCCCACCTCTCAGGATCTGGGAGCCCATGATAGTCACGTTTTTCAAGCCTCCAGGACTCAAATTCTGGTTAGCCACGTGGGATCTAGCTTCTTCTGTACAGAGCTCAACCAACCAGACTATGGGAACAGCCCACCCTAGTTTCTATCCTGAAAACAATGCCATTTTGGTAATGTACCAGAAGCAAAAAAACAGCTCTTTTCCAACTCTTATTTATGAACTAAGATTTACATACAATGTACAAAGTAAGCCTATGTTCAGAACTTGTTCTTTACTCTCAAGGGAATAGTGGTTCAGTGGTAGGCTATAGAGAATAGACTCCCTATTTGGATTTCAGGGTACCTCTTAGAAATATCTTTTTTCATCTACTTTATTATTTCCCCATATTTAAACATCGCTTTACTTAAATGTTTCTTATAATCAGTAGCATGTCATGGTTTGATGGCCGGGGAGTTTTTCCTAAGGAGGAATATGTTAAATATGTTAATTCTTTGAATTATTCTTCTTGAAAATGTTCCATTTCAGTCCATATCTAATTGTTAACATAGGTTTTGGAGTTTTTTAATGCCTGATTTTGCTATAAAGTATAAAGACCTGAAAATAAAAATGAGTTGGGGCCAGCAGGTGGCATGGCAGTCGTGGCTCCGGACTCCCACATGGCCAACCATGGACTGGGTCCCCAACCTGGAGGCTGGCTTGCTTGTTCTCGCTCTCTTGCTCTCTCCTCGATGACTACAGCAGGTTAAAAAATCATAATAAATGAAAGAAATAATTCCTTTTAAAAAATTTGTTTAAATAAAAATAAGAAAAATGAGTTAATTCACCTTAGGCTCCAATTATGTCAAACTGATCAAGAGTCTCTTTGAAGTTCCAAATCATGTGGCTAGCAGGTGGCTTGGTGGGTAAGACTCTGGACTCCCACACAGCCAACCACAGTACAAGTCCTGGACCTGGCAGCTTGCTTTCTGACTCTCCCTCTCTCTGTCTCGCTGTGGTCAAACTGAAGAATAGTTAAATTAATAATTTTTGAAATAATTTTTAAAAGTTCCAAATCAAGCAAAACAAAACAAAACGAATATACACACCAGGGCCGACAGGTGGCGTGGTGGACAGGGCCGCAGAACTCCCACATGGCTGACCACAGTTCGAATCTTGGACATGGGGGCTTGCTTTCTCACTTTCTCTCACTCTTTTGCTCTCTTCTCACTCTGTCCCTCTCTGGTCAAATTAAATGGATAAATTCATTAAAGTTAAATAAAATAAGTCTTAAAAAAAAAAAAAAAAAGAACACACACACACCAGTAAGGAGGGTAAAAATATCGTATCTTATATACACCAGAAACAGATAAAGTAATTTGGAAACTGACTCCTGAACTTTCTGCTGTCACTTAATTTTGTGAAAATACTCTTGTCTAATGCTCCACGTATTTTTCAAAGACTGTAAATTAGGTTTGAGTCCTCCTAGCACCATGATTGCTTCATCTACCAGAATCAAGATAAATCTTTCTACTCAGTAAGCCTGAAATTAAAGAGACAAGAAAAATGCTTTGCAAGTCAACTAGTATACAGGAAAGACCCTTACAATGACTTTCACATTAGCTTCTGAAGTAAAAAACTCAAAATTGGGGCCAGCTGGTGGTGTGATGATTAAAAGCACTGGACTCCCACATGACCAACCACAGCTCCAGTCCGGGACCTTGTGGCTTGCTGTCTCATGTTTTCTTTCTCTCTCTCTCTCTCTCTCTCTCTCTCTGTCTCTCTTCTCTCTCTTTCTCTCTCTCTCTCTCGTGAGTGCACATGCCCTATAGCACATTTAAAAATAATAAAAAAGAATTATTAAAAAAAAACCCTAACAGTCTGTCTTCATTTAGCATCACAGTCCAGAGAAGGAGCCCCAGCTGATCCAAGCATCACAAGTGCCTGGGTCTGAGACCGTCCACTGGCTACCTGACAATCTTCACTCATGTGTTCAACAAATACTTTCCGATTATTAAGTACAAAGCAACCATTGAACAAGAGGATTCACTAAGATATGACACTTGGGCACCACTTCCGTAAAAGAATAAAGTCTGCCCGAATAAAACACCATTAACCGACCTAGAACACCAATTCACACTCCCAGTATAGAATTCCACACACCCGAATGAAGTTAATAATTAATTTCCTAACGCTAGGCCCTAAACAGTACCTAGGAAGTACGTCTTTTGCTCAAATAAATCGTGATTCAAAACTGTGCAGTTTCCCGCTGACAAAACTGACTTTGTAAAGGTCTGAAAAGAACTCCTGGCCAATGAAAATTTTAACATGGAAAGGAAAGCGAAGGTGCCCGATTCTGAAGCAGGATCGAAGAAGAGGAAGGGTCTGAAGAAAAAAGTTGGAGGCGAGGAGCAGCGCGGCGGCGACCCAACGTGCTCTCCACGCTCTCACCTCGGGGAGCAACTTTTCCAGCTCCCGGAGGCTCCCGACGCCAAGCCTCGCCGTGCACACAGCACCTTGTCCCGGGAGGGACCCCAAAAGCGGAGTAGCGGATCCCCACACACTCGCACGTTCCACGGGGAACAAGGGGGACGGGGGCCGGACCTGGACACTAGCACACCGTCTCTCCTCCGAGAAGGATGGGGGAGGAGGACCGAGGGAGCGACTGCGGGCCACCCGCCCTGACGGCGTCTGCGAGCCAGGGAGGGGGTCCGGACCCCACGGCTAGCGCGAGGAAACCGAGCGGGCCTCGCCGAGGGCAGGCGGGAAACGGGGTGGCGGGAAGGCGAGACGCCGGCCCAGCTGCAACGCCGCACGCGAGGCCCCGACCTGCCCTGCGTTCGCCGACCCCGGGATGTCCACCACGGGCCCCCAGCCTCCCGGAGGGACCAGCGAGGGCTGGGAAGCCCCCCGCCCACACGCACGAGCCGATCGCCTCCCACCCCCCACCCCGTGGCCGCGCTCCTCGGGCTCCGCGCCCCACAACCGCGCGGGGGAGGCGGGCGCCCGCGGCC